AAGGCTAGTCATACTGATGAGGCATGCTTGCAGATACTAGCTCTCTGTGTGTGTGTATGTGTGTGCCTGTATGAGTGTGAATACAAATGTGTTATTATTTGTGTATATAGGTACATATGTAGTATGAGTGTGTATATGGGCCTATATAGTTGTATGTATTTGTGTATGTGAAAGTCTATGAATGCATATAGTGTGTCAATGGTATGTATGTATACACAAGTGAGTGTGTAATTCTGTGTATTTGTGCAAGAGCATTTAAGTTTGTGTGTGTATCTATGAGTCGATGTTACTTCATGTGAGAATATAAAAGTGTGATTGTGTGAGTGTATATGTATGCATAGAATCATGGGTGAGTGTTGCTGCATGTGGGTATGAATGCATGGCTATGTGCGTTTTTTGGTATATGTGTGGGTACTTGTGTCCTTATTTGCATTTGGGTGTACATGATATGTGCGTGTGTGAGTTGAGATGGGTGGTGGCTGTAACTCTGCTCTCTCTACAACTTAGGTTATGGTACAATGTCTATGGGTTACTTTCTAAGTTTTCTTTTTTTTCTGATTATCAGCTTGCTGATTAAGGATTGAAATACCAGAGCATCAGCAGGCTGGCTAGGAAGGACTCGTGAGGAACCATGGAGACCAGCTCCTTTCACCTTGTCTCCTGGTCACAGTGTCGGAGGAAAAGAGAGGGGCCAAGAGCCTATTTCTTTATGTGACTGAGCATGCTTTTCTGGCCTCTCTGAGAACAGAGCAGAGGAGTCACCTCAGACACAAAGACCAGAGCATGGATTATTATTATTATTATTAATCAATTTTCCAATAGTCTCTAGCAGGAGGGCATTTCTTTGATCTCATTCCAGTCAAGAATGCAGAATCTCCTTCCCCTCCTCCTTCTTCTCCTTCCTCCACCAGGAGTAGGCTTGTGCTCTCAGACTTTTCAGGGTGCCAGGGTCTGACCTGGAGAGGCCCTAACAAGCCTGTGAATCTGTTGTATTTGGGATCCTTTGGAGGAGACTCTAGGCATAAAACATTGACCAAGCAGACACCATAGAGACTCAAAGGCTGAGCCTAAAAGAAACGACCTAGCATTTAAGATTCAGAAGCCACCCAAGCAAAGGAAAAGCAAAAAACCACTGCAGATGCATCGTATGATATTTCGAAGCAAACTTGTATCCCAGAGGGAATTCTCTGGGCATTGCCTCACAGAGAGTAATGAGAGACTGTCTGGGATTCTAGACCTGAGCCTGGGTTCTGTGCTGTAACAAGCAAAGCTCATGGAAGGGGACTGATAGGTATGGGCTTGGTGTAGGCCCTTTAAATGACTCAGAACCCTCAAAGCCAAGAAAGTCCTGGGTTTTAGAGCCAAAGGGTCATGGTAACTCCAGACAAGGGCTTCTGTCAAGAACAGTAAACACAGGTGCCGCTGTTTCCTGTGGTAGCAATCGCCTATGAGGATAAAGGAGGCCTAAAGGTGTGCTAGGGGAAGCCCAGACTGCGATGGGTCTAGGGCTGAACTCTGCAGAGATGCAAACATTAAACTTCAAAGGCTAATGTGCAGTCTGTGTGATCCAGGCTCCAAATGCAGCACTTAGATGCGATGGTGCATGTGGTTTTATGTAATACCCTTGACAGCTCTGTGGTAGACATCGGGAAGCTGAACAACAGAAAATGTCGGAAACCTGGTCAAAGATGCATGGCCATGAAGCTGTGCACCTCCAGTCTGAGTAGGGTGACATCAAAAGCCATGCTCTAAAAGAGTGCTCCATTTCTTCCAATGTATATATGTTCATGTGTCCCCAAGCTTCCTGAGGCTCTGACATATAGACTGTGACTCAGTGGGTCAGGCAGAAAAGGCTGCGAACATTCACTCAGTGCCACCTCTGTAGCTGGGGTCTGTATCCATTTAGGGCATCACGCTGATCAGGAGGTCATCCTAAATCAGCTAGCAGACCTCAGCATCTCCTTTCTCTCTCACTATCATTTACTTTCAGTCCCCCTGTTAGCAGCACTAACTGGAACTCATTAAATTTATGACTCTCTGTAAGAGCCAGAGGGGGCGGAGGACACCAGTGACACAAGACCTTCTAAACCAACATGATCAAGGCTCATAGGGACCAAGGCAGCATGCAGAAGGCCTGCACGTGTGTGCACCAGGGTTCTGTGTATATATTAGCTTCCAGTTTAGTGTTCTTCTGCGATTCCTGAGTGTGCCAATGAGTGGGTCTCTTGTGCCTTCCTTCTCTTGGGTTCTTTTCCTTCTGTTTGTCTTGTCCCACTCCAGTGGGATAGGTTTTGTTTATATCTTATTCTAATTTGTTATAATCTATTATTTAAAAAGAGTAAAAACATTAAATATATGATTCTCACGATGGCTCAACGGGGTGAGTGGTGTGATTTACACATAAAGACTAGAAGCCATAAAAGGGTCAGCTGACCCAGGCTCGTGGAAAGCGATAAGTCTGGATCCCAGTCAAATAAGAGGTTTCTGGAGGCCCACACAGGGCATGGAAGCTGAGAAATTCCTCTTCAGGGCCCAAGTAGGACAATGAATGAGAAGATACAGTTATTTAGAACTGGGATCAATCATTTCCCCCCCCCCATCTCTCTTTCCCGGGCCTGCCTTCCCCCAGATACTTCAGTAAGAGAACAATAAACCTTGGACTTAGACATGTACTGTACTTGGCTTTCTTATATGACTATAATCCCTCCTTAAATCATGCAGTGGTTTGCATTTATAAATTTCTCAGCAGTGAATTTCCTAGGACAATTATAGGAGATGCATATTATACATACATATATACATACATACATACATACATACATGTGTCTAATATATATAAGCATTACTCAAACACAAAATATCAACCTGTTTGAGCCCATTACTCAATAATAAATCTCCCATGGATCTACAGGCTTGCAGGACTTAAATTTGGATATTCCTTTACATTTGACTTGGCAGTGGCGGCAGCTGACAGGGAAGGAAGGCCTCCACACTGGGTTCAGAAGCTGTTCCAAGTCAGCATGTCCCTTGTCCCTTGCTACTGTTGTAAACTTGTACAAGCTTCCAGAATCTCTGAGCCTTGGCTTTCTCATCTAGACAATGGGAATGCTCATAGCTGCAAATATGTGGTATGAAACAGTTACCAGTGAACACAAAGTCTTTTCTCTCCACCCCACCATAGTGGGGGATCATAATTACACTGTGGCTGGTTCTCTATGATTTTACAGGGTAGCTTCTGTCCAGACAATTAGCCATCATTTTTGTAAAACTGTTACTTGACAAATCATCCTGTAACTGTAGGCAGAGATGCCGCTTCCTCTTGTATCATTCAGTTTTTTTATTAAAGGATTTTTTTTTAAATAAATGTCACCAGTTCTCAGCAAGGCCCTGGTACCAGCTTGCGGTCCCTTCTGTTCCTAATTCCCTCCTGCTAGCTTACTTTATCAGCACATTTCCCATCTCCTTGTTGTGTTTCTGGTTGTGTATCTGTTTGGAAAAGGTGTTCTTTAATATCCACTTTAACTAGCTTCATTTGGCAAGGAGATCTGGGAGTTCAGCTCAGGAGGAAAAAAAGCTTTGATCATCCTGTTCCAATTTGCTGTTCTCACTCTTGCTGAGCACTCCTGGACTAGTAAGATAGCAAATGTTTTTGTAAGCTAAGACATAAATTAGATAAAGTCTCTGGGCTCATGGACAGCCTCTGGACCCAACGCATTTTGTGCAGTTCATTTGTCATATGAAAAGCACATGGCACACTTCAAGCTCCCACCTTTTGGTGAAGTTTAGCAGGTGTGTTTTCTTAGATGGATGTGTTGTGGCATCAGGAGGAGCCATGACTGGGTCCTGTTTTTTCTAAGGTCTGTCCCCAGTTCCCCAGGCCCAGTCATGCATTGTGGTGATCTAGGGTATGGCCTTATCCATACACCATCTTGCCTTCTCTGACATCATGGACAGATTCTTGCCGGTCTGTCTCAGCCTTGACCCCTGTCTGTACATACCTACTCATTTTACTGCCTTGCTTAAAATCCTTTACCCAGCCAGCATGATGCTTTTTGCTTACAATTTATCACTCAGGAGGCTGAGGCAGGTGGACCATGGATTAGAGGCCAGCCTAGGCTACAAAGTAACACCCTGTCTCAGAAAGCAAGTTAGAAAATGCAAAACTACTTAAAGCCCCTCAATGGTTCCTGACTTTTTTTCTACCACAGCTCAAACTCTTTATAGGATGTAAAAGGAATGGCCAGGCTCTCATTTTCAGTTTTTGCAGCTTCATTCATTCACTTAGCCATTCATTTATCCAAAAAGTACTGATCTAGGATCCAGTACATGGCAGATACTGCGCTAAACCATGATTCAACAATGAACAAAACAAATGTGGACTGACTTTTATGGAGCTTTAGGTGCAGGATCAAGGTCAAACAGCCCTGCCCACATGTATCAGAACGGTGCAGAAAGGTGACTGTTTGACCTTGTTTCTCATCAAGTAACATGTCAATTCTGCTGCTGAAAGAGAAGCTGGCATGAGCTAAGCAATGATAAGGCCCTAGGGCAGGAGGCACAGTGTGTTGTGCTTGAGAAAATGAAGGAAGCAGACCCGTGGGCTAGGAGCACAGAGACCACCGGAGCATCAGGAGGCGGTGGCCTGGGGAAAGTAGAGAAAAGCAGGCCAGCCTCGGGGGTTGTTCATCCTGAAGGCATTGCTAGATGCCTCAGATGTATACATAATGTAATGGCATAATAAAAATGCGCTCTGAAAAGTTATTCAGTGTTGCTGGGATGAAGAGTCGATTAGATAGAGTTTTTTAAAAAGTAGATTATTGCCATGGTTAAAGCAAGAGATGAACCAAGTTTAGAATGATCGATAGCAGTGCATGCAGGGATATATTTGGTAGATACGTAACATATTATGTCAGTAGGATTTGTGGGTGGAGTAAATGTGCAATAAATCAGTTGAGGAGAGAGAGCTTAGAGGATACAGAGCCAACAAACATCCTACTCACCCGTGAGGGTGGTCCTGGTAGTTGGACCAATGCCCTTGGGGACCAGCACTTCATGGTACTGCTCACCCGCTAGGGTGCTGTACACAACCTTGTATTCCTGAGCTTCTGCCTCGCTGTTATCCCACTCAAGGTCAAGGCTAGTTGCTGTGCGGGAACCCACTCGCAAATTCTTGGGAGCATCAATCTCTAAAAATAAACAAATATCACCACAATCACATGTAATTCCATACATTGATGGTACAGCTTAAATTCTAACCATCTTTGAGGTGAAAGCCACACCCCTGACCCTCTGCCTCCTATCTGAATGAAGTCTGAAGATGGTGCTTCGTCTTTTGGTTCTACCATGACAAGTCCTTTGGTAGTTAGAGTATGGGCTTCGCAGTCAGGCCTCAGCGTGAAACCAGTTCTGACACCCACAGTAGTAGGATGACAGACAAATTGTTCAAGCTCTTAGAACTGAATGGCCATCTCCTAAAAAGAGGAAACAATCCAAGTTGCCATTTGGATTATATGACATACTTGACGTGCACAGCATGACACCAGGTTCAAAAGTCGAGTGTCCGAGACTGGGATGGCTTGTTATCTCTGACGAGCTTCCTGAAACCAATAGTATGGCACCTGAATGTGTCTTCTGGGCTTCCTAGAGTTCCCATGACTATGGGCATTTCCTCCCATAATCTCCAGGTTTCTATCGCCCAGGGCTGACCAACTCAACAGGCTGACTACAACTTGTAGTGTAATACAAGGTTGTCTTGAAAGTCTGTCACTTAAAAAGTCCAAGATAGTTCCAGTCCTGGGGACTTGGATATAGCACTGGAATTGTTGTTGCTTGTTCTAAGTAGATTGTGTCAATCTGCCACTGCCAGGCAAGTAGCCTCCCCCTATTTGTCCCCATGGAAGAGACTGCATTCCTGTGAAATCAGAAGCTTCTGTTTTCTGATGTAAAGTGGGGTGGGGTGGGGAGTCTTGAACACATGGATGTCTTTGCAACTTATTTTTCTGAGAAATTGGCCTTCATTCAATGTGTGCTACCATATGGGATACTATTCATTCTTGATGTCTTGTACGTTCTCTCTCCGGGAGTTGGATCAATGGAGGAGCATGAGGGCAGACGTATGGGAGGCAGATCTCATGCAGGAAGAAAGATCTGGCAGAGTCTAGGCCTGAACTGAGTCTGGACTTAACTTTTCTCTTTGCTGGGGCTGACAGAAGCAATGTAAGGAAGGAAGAGTTTGTTGTGGTTCACAGTTCTGGGGCGCAGTGTAGCAGACAGCTGGTCCCTTTGTATCCATCTACAACCAGCAAGCAGCAAGGGTGAAGGCTGGACACTGACTCTCAGCTTGCTTTCTCCATCTGATGCATCCAGAACATCACCCCGAGTCCCACCTCAGTTAACCGGATGTAGAAGCTCCTTCATCCACATGCCGAGAAGTGTGTCTCCTAGGTGGTTCTAAACCCTGTCAGGTTGAGTATTAACCATCGCAGAGGTAAAGATAACTAATCAAGTAAAGGTGGGGACCTATGCCTATACTTGGAAAATGTTGTTTTCAAGATTTCCTCTTTTCATAGGGCAGAGAGAACAATCTACCGGCCATGGACCTGTACTCTATGGGAAGAGGACAGTGTTTTATCAGAAAGGAATGGGTGTTTCCAACGTCTGAAATTATAAAAGAGTTCACTGATAGAAAGAGGACTTGGACAATGAGTCTCAGAACTTGGCTGAGATAAAAGCCATGCTCTCTGGGTCAGAGAGAAAGAACAGCTGGAGGACATCCATGTAGATGGGGACTTAGCAGGTCTCTGAAACATGTCAGCTAAGACAGATGGCTAATGGAGCCTTTCTGGGGGGCCTTGGGTCTGTGAACTCTAGCACTAGCCTGTCTAGTCTTGATAATATTAGTTAGATCAGATTTTTCTTTGTTTAAAACATTTTCTTGTTCAATGCTAAATGTTCCTTTAATTGCAAGTGTGGGGGTCTAACTGGGTACTGAGTGAGCAGACCATTTTAAACACTTCTATTCTTTTTTATTCTTGAGACACATCAACTTGTATTCCAAGGTCTTTGAACCAGCTGCTATGTTTGCCTGGAGTGTTCTGTAGCTCTTGCATGACTTTCTCTAAGAGGTAGACCTCATCCATTGGAGCTCTCCTTCTGCCTTATCCATTCATTTCTCTCTCTATCTCAGAACTCATGGCTGACATGATCTCTGATGTTCCTTTTCCCTTTGCCACCCAGTTCTCCCCACTGGGGTGCCATTCGTGTGAAATAGGCTCTTATCTGTCTACAGCCTCGGTGCTTAGAGCAGTGTCTGTGGGCCCAGGAGATGTTTAAAAAGTACATGGTAAGTAATTGAAACATGTATCATCCACTTCTCAATCTTTTCATTCCCTCCAAGCCTTTAGCGATGACGTGTTAAATATTTTAGCTGCAGCCTGGAGTGGGGGGGGGTTGCAGGAAACAGAGCAGCTGTGAGACAGAGCCTTGCAGAAGCAGGAGCTCTCTGCCGTCTATAACTAATGTCTTGACTGAAGCGGCCAGGGCTTCCAGGTTGAACTTTGAAGTAACTTGCTGGAGAATCCCAGAATGGAGTCACCAGTGAGGAGGGAGGGGAATGAAGCTCTGGCTGTTTGTATTTGTTATCTGAGGCTGCCACACATGGCGGCCCAAGCTGGGATCTGAGTAGGAAAGCAATGTCTGGAATCTTGAGATGCAGGTGCTGGCAGGGTGGCTTCCCTCTGAGAGCTGGGAGGGAGTCTGTTACATCTCTCTCAGCATCTTGTGAGTTTTCTGACCATCTTGGGTATCCTCTGACTTATTTCTGCCTTATTTTTCTTGGCATTCTTCTGGTAATGCCCATCTCTGTCCTGCTTTCCCCCTTTGGTAAGGACGCAGTTGTTGGATTAGAGCCCATCCCAGTGCCTTCCCCTCAACTAGCCCATCAGCAAGGACCCTAGTTCCACATTCGAAAAACATCCGGGGGATGGGGGGAGTCAGGGCCTTAGTATCTTTTCAACCCATGAGAGCACTAAGCCTAAGTGAGGGTCATTCAGATCAGAGGCACTGGTGACTAAGGGCTCTTTGCGGACTCTGCTCAGAGTGAAGTCCTCCATGGTAAGGGAAACTGTCCCCAAAGTCTCTGTGAGGCCGCTGAAGTAGGAGGTTGACTCCAGGTTTCCTAGTCTGGCTTCCTTCTAATTACCGGCCTCTGTGCGCTTCCACCATGGTCTCTGTTTTCAGAGCAGCTCTACGACCCAGACTAACTTCCTACTCACCATGCAGGAAGCAAATCTCAATTTTAATTGCCTGTGCAATTAGTGCGCTCCTAGTGTCGAAGCCATCACCTGGAAAAACACTTTACTTAATTTGAATTTAAGCGGAATTCTGAACCGACTGAGGGCCCCACCGTGAGGGTCTGCATACCCTTTCATCATTCAACTGGCATCTGCCAACTCTGGACTTGGAGAATCTTTCTGCAAAGCCATTTGTCTCTTACCATCCCCGCTTCCCTCTCCCCTCTAGGAGCCTAAGAGAGCAGACATGGGTCTGAGGCACAGGCTGAAGGCTGCATGGAGAAGCAGCCACCTCACAGTTGCCAATCCACCAGGCAACCTGCAGCTCCTGCTGCAGTGAACAGAAATGCAGGGGGAGCTCTCTCCAAGGAGGCAGGATGTAATTGTCTTGATTGGAATTTTCCCGGGCCAGCAGCCAGCGCTGCTCCATCTTGCCGACCTGAGCATCGAGAATTCACTTTTCATCAAGCTGCCTGAGAGGCCCCTCCTCTTTTCTTGCCTCTTCAAACTCCTTATCAGAGCAGAGCACAAAGAAACCACTTTCAAATACAAACTATCTTGAAATTAAGAGAAGAATGCTGAACATACGTGGCCCAGCACAAATACCACCAGCCTGAGCAAGTCATGGGGTGTGTGTGTGTGTGGTGTGTGGTGTGTGAGCACGCGGACGTGCCACAAATTTTCAGACCAAAAATGGATATTGCAGAACCAGCTTTCCTCATGCTCTTACATAAACATTCCTGCCTAAGTGGGGGAGAAAGGAAGAGAAACGAGAACAATTTGATTGTCTTTTTCTAAGAAGTACACTTAGTCTTTGGAAATCTCAGGATAGGTTTACTAAAGCAGCCCACTGGCTATTCCCCAGGCAAGGAAGTGGAGTCTGTACCAAGGATTGACAGGAGAACTTAGAGTGGCTGGCAGACTCTAGCCTGCCAGAGCCCACACATTTTCAAAGGGAAATTTACCAGTGCACTTGCTTGCTTCTGTAGAGGAGCCCATTGTAAGACTCTTGGATGGGCTCTCTGACTGGGGAAAGTGGGATTAAGTGGTGAGTTGTGAAGCAAAGCCTGGGCACTGAGAGTCCATTCCCCTTTCTCATGGGACAGGCTGCCATAATGGTCCAACTGCTCCCTGTTCCTCCATAGTCTGAATTCTAACCTAAGTAGTCCAGGACGTCCCCATGGGCGGTCTAGCCTATATCTCCCCCAGTAATTCAATTCCTTCAGTTCTCAAATCTGTCTACCTGTAACACTGATCCATCTGCTATACTTGAGGTCATATTTTGGGGGTGCATATATCTTACAGGTAGAGAAGGTGTGTAATTGTTGCACATTCTTGGGGTCTTTGACTCACTCCATCTTGTAGCAGACTCTCAAGCTCCAACCCAAGGTGGGACACAGAGATTCATGAAGTCATGTGAAGTCAGTGGTTCTGAGATCTTCCAGGTGTTATCAGTTTTCTTTGATCCTTGGGAAAACCTGGAGCTAGCAGAAGCATTCTTTGACATGTAACCTCCCCAAGGAGGCCATCTTGGGTATCCTCTGACTTATTTCTGCCTTAATTTTCTTATGGCATTCTCCCAGTCTCTAGGCCAAGACCAAAATTCTAGATTAACAGGGACGCAGACTTTGTCCTGTGATCAGGCCCTTGCTTGCCTGACCTTTGAGTGGAGCCTATTGTTCTTACCTCCTGACTGGTCAGGCTGGGGGACTCCAAGTCAGGAAGTGAGTCACTCTGAGACCTGGCTTTTCTGATTATTGCTAAGTTCGAGGAAGCTCTCTTGTGGGCATCATTGCAAGATCGGAAAAAAATTATAATGGTTTTAGCTCAGTTTCCTATCCATGGCTGTGTGTGTGGCCCGTCTTCTACTAATTAGTCTTGTTGTTAGAGGTTGCCCATGGCAGCATGACTCAGGGACCTCAGTTGGAAGGTTTGCTGGTGGCTATGCAGGTTGTGCTTTGCACAAGACTGAGTTGTCTTCGATGTAATGACATCACTTCAGGCTTAGAGAATTTCTAGTTTCCAGTAAATGGCAGTGAAGTATCTTAAGAAACAAGACACCTTCTCTGAACTCTCACAGATTTGTCATTTAGGTCAGTAACATAAATATTCAAATGTCTTTGGGATAAGCTTAATACTTCTGAAAGGAAGGGAGTAGTATTAAGTCACAGGTCTGGCTAGCAGAGTTAGGTTGAAAACCCAGCTCTCCTTACTTGGGGGGTACTCTATTTTTCTTAATGCTGGAATAGCAATACCAACAGGAGCTCCTGAAACCTCTAATTTGTTTCTTAATAGCCTCTGTATGAACAGGGTTGCCTAGCACCGTTTCATTTTTCTTTAACATCCTCTGGCCTGATAGCATCATCGTGTTGCCTCCCACCCCTGCCTTCTTCCCCTCCCAGTCTCACCTGTTGTAAATTGGGTACTTGTGGCATCGCTTTCATTGGTTCCGCGGACTGCACTGACTGAGACCTCGTAGCGGGAGCCAGGTCTAAGGGCTTGCACTGAGTACTGGCTTAGGGGAGGCTGCAGCCGGAAGGTCGTCTTCCCACCTTCTCCACCCACTAAGCCATATTTCAAGAGAATGAAGTCAACTTTGGCTCGAGGTGGGGTCCACTCTACAAAGGCCACAGTGTCAGAGACATCTCGAACCAGGATCTGCGTGGGCCCATCAATGACTGCATGAGAAACAGAACACAAAGTTGATTCAGAAGTAAGCATTCTTTGGCATCTGTTTACCCTTTACTTAATATATTAGCTTGTTCAATGGGATGGGTTTCCTTGCCCCATTGTACTGATATGGGGGAATAGTGGGTATTTGCTCAGTCCATGATCTTGTTCTATCTGGAATGACAGGTAGTGCTTCTTGTCTGCCAATGTGACCTCTTATAAGGAAGGAGGGAGAGGGTCATGCTCTTCTTGGGTGGTAATGACTGAATCATGATGCATCTGGTCAGTTCCCAGCTATCCAAGGACTATGCAACTGGATTTACCATATCCTGTATTCGTGAGTGTATTTCCCTCTTTCATATCTTAATAAATCCTTGATACCCCTTAAACAGATGCATGTGGATTTCTCTTAATGAGTGGCACCCAACATGGGGCTCAAACTCACAATCTTGAGGAGTCTCATGCTCTATTGACTGAGCTAGCAGGGCACTTTGTTTAAGGCGTATCAAGGATTTGTTAAGATATGAAGGGGGGAAATACACTCACAGAATACAGGATATGGTAAATCCAGTTACAGAGTCCTTGGAAAGGGAGAACTGATCACCTGTTGATTCAGGCAGCCTGACTCAATCTTCACCACCCAAGAGAGAGCAGGACCCTCTCCCTCCTTCCTTTTAAGAGGTCACATTGGCAGACAAGAAGCACCACCTCTATCAGGCCAGATAGCCCAAGGTACATATACCCCACTACAATATGAGGGGATATAGAAAGAGGAAGTCTCCTCCTTGAGCAAACATTTGCTGACGCCATGGACACTGATAATTAGTTTTCCCTGGGTCTTGGTCTCTTTCTCCATCCATTGACTATAGGTTTCAGGTGCTGGCATTTCCCATTCTGGGCAGGGGAAGGTGACCTATTTCTTTCAGAGGTAATGACACAGGAGGAGAGAAGCAACTTCTGCCCATTGCCCAGCTCTTACCTTCACTGAACCCAGAGGAAAACTCAATGAGATAATGGAGATAAATGAGACCCAGACTTGTTTGCCAAAAGTCTCTTCATGAGTATTCACAAGTTATTCCTATCTAGCTTTATTCAGCCTGGCCAACCAGGCTGTCATTTGCATATGTGGACACGAAACATGGCATTCAGGAAAATGTGCTCATCTGAATACAAAGAACTCTAACTCTAGAGTGGTTATTGTAAGCCAACCCTCACCCCGCGCACATCCTCCCCACCCGACAAATGCCTGCACGTTTCTGAGCCTGAGGATGCTGGATACAAAGGGTACCCCAGGTTCTCTGGCAGTAGACATTGACTCTGGATTTAGCCTGTGTAGAGTCAGGGCTGATGTGGTGATTCTCTACCACACTAATGGGTAAATAGGGAATATTTGATGTAGGGGTGAGTAGTGGAGAGCTAAGGAGGGGCATGGGGAGGAGAGGGAGGCATGGGTACATAGAAATAGGTGACCATGTGAGCTTATGAAAAGAGATAAAGAGTAACTCAATTTCTTAGTTTCCATTTTATGGTTAAAAACTTTTATGAGGCTCAGGTATGTTTCAGGTCCTGGGCTTCTAGGAAACGATTTATGTCCCTTTCAGTAAATTTTCTTTTGCTTCAGTTTAAGAAACCTTCCATAGATTCCTCTGGAATCTTGGTCTTAAGATTTTATTTTTAAATCAGTAGAAACTGGACACTTTAATCTGTCTCTAGTGTGGTTGTCTCCATCAGGACTCCCACAGGCTAACCTCGAGTTCCTCAACTTTTCAGAGCTGGAACATTTGCCAGGTCCCCCACTCTCAGCCCAATGCTGTGTCCTATTAAGCAGCTTAGGACTTTTGGTCTACTATCAGCTAAAATGAAAATCACTAGGCTATTTTGGTATTGCCTGGTTTGGAATTAAAATGAATTTCAACTTTTCATTCTTGAGGTAGTCATATGTGATGGAGGAAGGACATTGGTTAATTATAATAAAGAAACTGCCTTGGCCCATTTTATTGGTTAGAACATAGGTAGGTGGAGTAAACAGAAGAGAATGCTGGGAAAAAGAAGCTGAATCAGGGAGTCGCCATGATTCTCCCACTCCAGACAGACGCAGGTTAAGCCAGCTCGTGGGCTACACAGATTATTAGAAATGGGTTAGATTAATATGTAAGAGCTAGCCAATAAGAGGCTTCAGATAATGGGCCAGGCAATATTTAAAAGAATACAGTTTCCGTGTAATTATTTCGGGCATAAGCTAACCATGCGGGCGGCCGGGTGCCAGGGACGCAGCCCTGCCGCTCCTATTTCAACACATGTGTTTAAAAAGAAAATAAATAAAGCATGCCACAGCTTTAGGTACCTCAGACCGTTGTTATTTCACTTAATTTAATTACAGGGTGGCCAAATGCCCTCCCAGCTATGGCATAAGTTTGCTGTGTGAAGACACTCAATGAGTGCTGAACTGGTGAGCCTCTTCATCTATGAGAACAGGGTAGGAGAGCATTTCATTGAACTGGAGCTTTTTCAGAGAAAAAAAAATGCCATCAGAGGAAATCAGATAACCACATAAAGCTTTTATCCTTCAACTCTTTAGATCCCAAAACCCTAATCATAATGGATTGGCCATATTAGAATGTGATTATGTAGCTCCGAGGGCGTTCGCTGCAGGAGGTCTTGTATTTGCATTCATAAAATGGCCTGCCCTGAAAAAGCCAGTCTCAGTGCAGACTAGGGCTCAGAGCTTCACAGGAGGGGGTCGGTGTAGGTCAGAGCTTAGCAGAAGGAAAGAATCAAATGATTGTTTCCTAAGAGCGGCAGACAGGGATGGGAGTCAGCCGTCTTTCCTGCTGCACCTTGGATTCTGCCCTTCGCTGGTCAATTGGTCATAATGTCCTGTTCCAATCAAGGTTCTAGCAGCTTGCTTTCAATTTTAGCACTAATTTCTAAGTGAATAAAAGTCCTTTCAAAAATGGAATGCACGTATGCATGTGTTTTTTTCTTGTTTTTCTTTTTTTTTTTTTTTTAAATAATTTTGTCCATGACACTACTCCATTGAGTAGGACTTTTCTTAATTGCCCAGCTTTCCCATGGTTTTCTAATTCTGGAACTTTTCATTTGAATTTTAAGGGATCTTCAAAAAAGTACTTCAAATTGTATTTCAAAAATTGGTTTGGCTATAAGACCAAGACAGGGTTGGATTGCTTCTTTAAGTGCCCTCGATACTCTGGAAGAGAATTACTCCACTGGAATGATCTCTCTCCTCTTTGGAGCCATCTTTTCTTGCCAGCCTTTTACCTATGCTCTCTTAACGTCAGTCATAGGAATGGTCTGGAGATACTCTATATCAGAAAGGAATAATCAATGTCTGTTAGCAGAAGCCCAGTCTTCAGAGTCCAGCATAACCTTGGGGAACAAACTTGTGCCTTTGGCCTTCTGGAGAGTTCTCCACAGCTCCAAGGCTTTGCGTGCATAGAGTTTCTTCTGAAGTTCACTGGATTATAACAGTGTTTTAATGAGCCTACTCCCAATAGTGGAACTGGCGGGAGGGGGGGTTGTTGTTGTCTAAATCTTAAATGGATGCACAAAATATAAAACAGGTCAAAGCAGGACTTCTCTGGCTGGCAGTCATGGAAGAGAAGAAATTAGAAGTGTGGATCTCTCCCATCCCCATCCTGACATTGAGACATGGTTCTGGAATCCTGGTGCACCAATGCAAGACAAGCTAATACCAAAAAAAAAAAAAAAAAAAAAAAAAAAAAAAAAAAAAAAAAAAAAAAGGTTTTGCTCAAATTTTTCTAGACTGATCCTAAGTCTCAGAACCTGATGCTATTAGTTTGGATATGAATATCTAACTTTAAACCATTAGTACATAAACATTGCTTTATTGCATAGTGCTGTAGTTCCCTTTTCTACCCAAGTCAACCTTTGGTTTTGGACTTAAGATTGGCTTTCTAGGATGTTGATTTCTGTTTATGAAAAAGAAAACTGTGTTAGTATTCACCTAGCTCAGTTTTTGTTGCTAACAGGGAAAGTTGCTTAAACTCTACATCTCGGCTTCTTCCCCATCGATAAATGAGATCCCCCAAATGAATGCCAGACACTACTGATCAATTTTGAGCAAGTCTAAGGAGTCGCACACACGCATATCACAGGGGCTAAATAACAACAATCAGATTGAACATCCTTTGCCAGATAATAGTTCAATAAGGCAAAATATGACATGATCAATGAACTTATCTTGAAAATATAATGATCGAGTGAGATAAACTGTGGGCACAAAATAATAACTTGAGACATTATTTTGATCACTGGCCACTCTGCCTACGGTTTTCAAGTAGTCTTCCCCGTACTGCCTTTACTTCTAGCATGTGTTGTGTGCATGTATGTATACCAAGTATTAAGCACTGATCAGTATAGTGTTAATTATGTTGTGTATTATATTTAATCCTCAACTCAATAGAGACGGTGTTATAAAACAGATGGAGGTTTAGAAAGGTTTAGTTGAATTTCTTCAAGTCTTAAGTAGGTGAGAATGACTTGGCTCTTGCTGGTTTCAAAGTTTATGACAATAGGAGGCTGATGAATGAGGCTTCTTAATGAGTGAGATTATTTCCTCAATGGAACATTTTCCCAGGTTTCTGTGCTCGCAAAGATGAGCACTGAGGGAGACGATCTGCTAAGCGACTGGCAGAGTATGTCCCTTTTGAAGTTCCTACATCATTTCGCTCTGCCCTGAGTCCTAGCATCTTTCTTACCTGTCCATGCCTTGCAGTTCTTTGGGCAGCCATGGAAAGAGTTGGAGGCACTTACCAGTAGAGACGCTGGCGGAGGTAGGGAGGCTCCGGGCTTGTTCCTTCAGAGCCACAACATTCACAATATACTCCTCTCCGGGCTTCAGCCCCGTCTGGTTGAAGGAGGTAACGTCGCTGGGGAGCTGAGCAATCACCCCTCCTTCATTGTTCTGGAGAACAGGGCAAAAGAGTGATCAGAGGGGTCACTGGGAAATACATATGATGAGAAAAAGATAAAGGAGCGGGATGCTGATTCTGCGCATTGAAATTATAAAGCTGACTATATCTGTTCCCTACGCACTAGCAGCCCACTGCTTGGGACCAGAAACATGCCTAACAGACTCAAAAGAACCAGTTTTCAAGGATATTTCTTTGGCCTGTCCTGACTTTTCTGGGTTTGCCCACACCCCCAAACCTAGTCATGCAGTGATTCAGATAGACTCTTGTCAAAGATTTAATATTTGATGGTCATGATCAATGTCCATAAGATTTTTTTGGCACCTATTGTAATGAATATGTTCTTAGCTGTTTATAATAATGCACTTGTATGGATATGTAATATTACAGTTCAAGACATGATCAGATATTTTTAAAACCCAGAAGGATTGTCTCGCTCTGTTTTCTTTCTCATGGTGCTGCCTTGGCTGCCAATCTGTCACCATTATGTTTTCCCTTCACTCACACCATGTAGAAATGGGAAGCAGAGAGAAAGGAAACACATGTGGGAAAAATGTGAAAAAGCAATTTCATGATGTTGGGTCCAGGATTTTCAATTGTAATCTATTCATCACCATGTATGTATGTATGTATGTATGTATGTATGTATGTATGTATGTACGTACCTACCTACTACCTACCGATCTCCATCCTTCTATCATTTATCTATCTACTTTATTTTCTAATGTGTGCTTTGGAAATAGCAGAGGCAGAGGTCCTTTTTGTAACCCTGCCATTCTTACGTGTTCTTTGTTCTCTATTTATGTCACCTGGGTGTTCCATATATAACTTATAGCCATGCTCTTATAAATCAATATGATGAATGTTCCCTTCCCGTGGCTTCAACCTATATATTATGGCATAGAGTCCATGCAGCCAGGCATTTGATCTTGGCTTGCCCTGACTAGCTCATCTCTCATTCAAAGTTTTATAGATTGTGTGCAGAGCAGAACATCACAGTTATTTTTTTTTCCTGCCTGAACAGCAGGATAACATGATTCTTCCTGCCTTGTTATAAACCCAGTTGCCTGCAATTCTTTCTTGGCCATTTAAATCAGGCAAGACATATCCTAACAGATTTGTGTAGAACATCTGTTTAGGTGTATTTAGCTTGCTGTGACTAAATCCACATAAGAGTGTGAGAGCACTGGAGTAGAGCCTGAGATTCAGGTTTTTGTCTTAAACCTGGCAGGTGATGTCACTTAAGATCTCTGAGTTCTGGTGTCCTTTGACTAAGCAAAACTAAATGTAAAATGAGGGCTCACATTCCATTTGCTTGCAGGTCTTTTGTAGCTACAACAGTCAAGGCTCCAGGAATTCTGGAGTAAAAGAACAGTAAAACCACAGTCTTGTTAGCCAAAAATGTGTCAGTTGTCATTAGGGCTGATGAATGACTCAAAAAATGCTTTTTGATGGTGAAGGATGCAGACAGAGGAAAGGAGTGTGCTGCACTCCGGATCCATGGACGATGCTCGGGGAGAGTGTGAGCAGAGCCAGCAGAGATTGGAAAGCGGGACAGTACCAGCGGCTTGCAGACAGTTCCCGGACTCACTAGATCAAACGCCACTCTAAAGACCGCATAGGACTCTCAGGATACTTCTAACTCCCAAGTTATAATAATGAATTTGTCTAAGGAAAAACTTGCTGAATGGTTTATACATTCATTTTGACTAATTCAGGAAAACCAAGACACGTTTTATATCTCTAACTTTCAGAGGTTGAAGGCCACAAGCTAACTTTTTAACTTTTTCTGTATTTATCAGTAGGCTGCCTGTGTGACTGGTTCCATCTGTCTATTCTTTTGTGCAAAGTAGAGGACTCGACTCTTTGAAGGCTTGGTTTTCAGGCTCACTACAAGCACGGCTCTCCAAACACTGGCGCTCCCTCAGCAGACAGCTGGATCCTGGCACCACTTCCCACATGTCCCATCATCCAAGGCCTGGAGCTGAGCTCAGGCTGTATTTGTTAGGCAGGCCTCTGGCCTTTGTGAGGGCAATGCCCTGTAGCCCAGACACAGCATTTCTCCCTGTGTCTTCAGTGGCTTTGGAAGTTACGTCAGTTAGTACCCTCCCGCTGCCCCCAAATCTAAGTTGAGGATAGGGATATATACCTATCAGGCGTGTTTAAGTGAGCTCAGAGTCGTGTTACCTTTGGAATGAAGCTGATCTCCCACCCATCGAAGGGGAATGAGAAGGGCTCCCACTGCACCTCCACGGTGGTCTCTGTGATCGTCTTGAACTGTAGCCCTTGAGGAGTGGAGACATCTGGAACACAGCAATGTGGGTGGCAATGTCATGGCCATCCCTGGCAGGGGCAGTGATCACTTCCTGGTGCTTTGTCTTGTGACCTCCCTTGGTGTCCTGGGTGAGGAGAGGTGTGGTGGGCAATCCCAATCCTGCTGTAGACAGAGTCTCACTGGCAGGGTCAGCACACTGTCATGTGGCCCTGGTGCTCGGTGTGTGTGAATACATGAGCAGACTTAACACATGTAATCATTTAGTTTTGTGCTTTCTATTACATAATAGAAAATGTTAACATTAAAAGTTTTTAAATCGTGTTTTCTTTTCCTTACTCATGTGGTAGATCCTGGTATCGAATAAAAATCTTTCTCAGAGGACTCATATAGAAACCATGCGGGTTTCCTGGGAGGCAAGATGGTAGCCAGTATTGGTGTTCCTATTTTATATCCAGGAAAAGGGAGACACGGGGGAGACTGGCCAGCTTCAGAATAAAACTGAATGCCGTCCATGAGTATCTGAGGTGTGTTGAAAGTATGGAGACTCAAATCACTACAGCTCGGATAGTCAGAATTTGCCACTTGGTATTTACGAAGAAAGCACAGGCATAAACAGTGTTGCTCCCATTTCCTTGTCTCTAAATTCCCTCCTGTTCTCTCTTCTCTTGCTCACCTTTGCCTCACTTATCTGGTTTTGCTTTGCTTAGTCTTTCTCTTCTTCTCTCCATTCCCCACCCTCAACACGCGCGCACACACACATACATATACACAGGTTTAGTGAGGTGGAAATATGTTTGTCCTGATGGAGTTCCAGTCACCAGCCCTGAAATACAGCAGTGTGACTTTTCACAGTTCTCTAGGAAGCCTGCTCCCATGTTCATGTTTCTTCTCAGGCTATTCCCACTGGAAAAGGACAGGTTTTTGTTTTGTTTCATTTTGTTTTATTTATTTTTTCCTGTGAAGAAGCTTCTTTTGCTCCTTGGTGGAAAGGCAGGGCCAGTTGTGAAGTCACGTGAAGGAATGGCAGGTGAGTTTACCAGAGTTAACACTTGGTAAGCTATCTCTCATCTTTTTCTATGATAAACTATGCATATAGTGAGCCTGAGGGGATGCCCTGCATTGGCACAGTAAATGCCACCAGAGGTGGAACCCATATCAGGACATGGGTGTGGATCAGAAAGGAGCAGCCTCTGGATCCACCACCAGGCACTCCAGGGGTTGACTCATCCCCCAGTACAGTGGGAAAAGCAGCAGATGGTGACCTTCCTCTACACAGTCACTAAAGATATTTAAAACTAGTTCTCAGGCACCAGAGATAATTATAGGCATATTAACACACTCAACATTTATGGAGGAGCTCAATAGTATCATAAAACTTTAGTCACCTACAAGTGGGGCAAGGGGACTTTCTTAAGCCTTTGTCCCTATCTTTGCATCTTTCCAATTTCAGTCTTTGACCTCTTTGAGGTCCTCAAGACCAATGCTTTTATCTTGACATTTCCTTTTTCTGAAATTTTCTGGCATTTGTTATCCAAATGCCATTTGTCATTTGAGACCCACATAAAAATGGGCTCAAATCTTTTATTCCCTATTTGGTCATAAATTCTCTTTACAGACCCCAAGGGCTTTCTGAATTCTAAGGGTCCCTGTTTCCATGGCCACGGTCTTGTTCCAGTCTCTTCTTTCAGCCCTCATCCTTCAGATGTTCTCTGTGTAGAATCGAGTAAGGCACGGCCCCTTTTCATTGATGTCTCTCTGAGATGTCCAGGCATCTGTTCGTCCAGATTCTGCACTGGATTTGGAGCAGCACGAATGCAGGCTGCTGCCCAACTACTGGAAATTTCTTTCAGGAGATTGCTCATCTCTCTTAGTTTCGGAAAGTTGACAGTAATACAGACACTTCGTAATTATTTAAGAATACAGAAGTATAAAGGAAAAGAAACAGTGTAGGGAAAGAAGCAGTGTTTCTTTTCTAGTTCTATTTTTTTTGGCAGATTCAGTGTTAACACTTGGTAAGCTATCTCTCATCTTTTTCTATGATGAACTATGCATAGACAGAACATAGATACGGATCTAGAGGAGGTCTTCCTTGTTCTAAAGAAACAACAAAGACTTTCCAGAGATTATGCATCACAGAGACAGCTCATCTTGCTTTCTGTCTGTGTCTTTACTATCACTCTCCACTGCAGTTTTCTGAATTATCTTCTAGAAATTCAACTTCTATTACTAAAGTGACTATCAAGATATTTTGCTAAAATAAGAAGTCGTAAAGAAATTATGCCACTTATAGAAATAGACGTTGTCAGCTGTGACTTAAACTAATGTTATCATCGTTGTATTTTTTTCTCACTCTGTTTAGTTCTTACCACCTGTAATGTAACATTAGCCCTTATTTGTTATACTTCATAGCTGCTAGTTTTGAGTCCCTAACTAGATTAAAAATCTGTATAAATCTCACACTTTGCTTGACTTCTATCAGAATCCAGCTTATAACAAATCTAGTGCTCAATAATTAAAGTATTGTTTGTTCTAGAATTCATGGGTGTTGCCTGAATTTGGAAGCTCTCATAATCAGAAGTGCCTGTGTAATGGTGGGCCTTTTGTTTTTTAAAATGGGTCACTTCTAAAGCCCTTTCCCTCCAGAGCAAATGATTGCAGGCATCCCTAACGAACTAAGAAAAGACACTACAATCATGAATGCCCATGATCTCATGAAGGAGAAAACAAAAATGAAGCAGGACGGGGAAATGGTACGTACGAGTGGCCACCTTGGCAGTGATGGGAAGGCTGAGGATGTTGCTAATGACAGCGTAGACGCTGATGTTGTAGGTGAGACCTGGCTCCAGCTCCGTGATGGTGACACCACTCCAATCTCCAGGCACCCGCTGCTGGAGCTGGAGGCCCCCCAGGGCCATCGGCTGGTAAGAGATCACATATTCCGTCACTGCCATCGGCCCGTCCCATTCCAGCTCAATGGACCTGTCGCTGATACCAGCCACTCGCAAGTCCTCTGGAGGGGCAACTACCAGGAGGCAATACACAGACAGCATGAGCTCAGAGGATTGTCTGTCCCAGTGCGGACTCAACTTTCTTGTTCGCATCTCACCCCCTAATTACATGTCTGGAGTGCTTCCTGGCTCATGGCTCATGGCTCCCTTGCTCCATGGCTCCACGGCTCATGGCTCCACGGCTCCATTCTCTACTGAAAGACGCCACACTCCACAAGGCGGCCAATGACTGTGGGGCTGGAGCTGGTCCCTTACTGCTTTGCGAAGGCTGACTGCCAAACTACCAGGAATTCTGCCTGACTGTTCACGGGTATTGCCATTATTAAAGATGAAATGCTATGAAACAGTAATTAAGCAAATTGCATCTAAAAGATAATTATTTAAGACCTGTCACTCTAAAGTCATTTCACTGCGCTTTACAGTTAACTCTGCCTGTAAGGTGACTTTGTGTGTTGCATCTCTGGTAGGAATACTATATCGCTGCGCCCTGTGGCCTATCTGTTCCTAACCCCATGTTCAATGACGTCACATGAGCGGCTTGAAACTGGCCAAGGAGGCATTTCCCCCATGGGCATTTGCAAAAGCTACAAGTAAGAGCTTCCTAGTCTGTTTTCCTTCGGAGAGCCAGTTGTCAGATTTTTTTCATAGCACACTGTGACCAACTAAACAGTTTGGTAGTTTAATAAATTACTGCCGTCAGACTGTCCTGACAGCCAGGGTCTGATTTAACAAGTGGAAATAAAGACTAATTCCTGTTTTTCCTACAAATTATAAGAAGCCAAAACAACATGTCCTGTATCTCACAGCCTAATGAAGATGCCCAGAAATTCTTTATTACAGCACCCCTCCCCTTCTTTAAAACGGACAACATTTAAGCTCTGAAGCGAATATAACTTGTTTCAAACTAATTTTCATTAGCCTTGACCTTGGAGATGATGATCAGGGAGCATTCTTGAGAGCTTTGCTTTCCTCACTTGTCCAGCTTCGCAAATGCTATGCAGAGCTGCCAAAGGTTAAACCGTATTGAGATAGCCTTTCTTGTATAGCTCCCTTGGGAAGCGAAGCTTCACCGTGGGGTGGGTATCAAATCATTGAACCTTTAAGACTAATTAGAAGGCTAACACTAGTGTCTATAATTGGACCTGCTCAAAGATTACAGCAGAGAACAGGCCAAGATTTAAGTGATTCTAATTAACTTCCATGTTTGTATGTAGTGGAGGTTCGTTCCCACTGGTCTCAGAGTTGCCATTGGTTTTGAATTTTTCTGCTGGGTAAACCTCACCCTTTACAAACAAGCAGGGCCAGGCCAGGTGCTTTTCACAGGAACATGGGAGTATGAGAGGAGAGTGCTTGCCACCTTGGACTCACACCACAAACCTCAAATTCTTGGCTAAGAGAACTGAGGAGCCCTTATCTGGTCCACAGTTCATGGCAATGAACAGCATCACAGGTCTGTAATACCGGCTATTTACTTTGCTTCTGCCCCCAACCATTCTCTGCATAAAACAGCTGAGAAAATAGTTTCTTCTGACTAATCAGGGAGGACATTACCAGAGGCAGGAAGTCTGCACTTTCTTCTTATTTAGTCAATTTATTTGTTCCCACAATGTAGCTTAGGCTATACTAAGACAGACAGTCTTCCTGCCTCGCCCCATCTCCCCGATTGCTTGGATTCGTAGCTCTGGACCATTATCACCACACATGTCTTAAAATTTACTCCAAAAAAACTTTCAAAACTAAAGTAAGTATAAATAAAATTTAATTAAACCCTTAAGTGCCCAGTTTATGGCTCTGACATTATAAACACTGAAGTGCACTGGTAGAAAACCTGCCCCTATTTGTTATGGCATTTTTGGTGAAGATTTGCTATGTCCCAGATAAAATGCTAATACTTTACCCTGGGTTATTCATTTCAGCCCCCCACCAGCACAGCAGGAGAAGTTTTATTATTACTCCTAATTCATATGTAAGGAAACTGAGGCACGCAGCAAGCAAAGACAGGAGCAAGGATTTGAACCTCAGGGACAATGGCTCAAGAAACTGTCAGCAAACACATAATTCTAGATTAAGCTATAAAACATCTCAATGATAAAATATATCAGACACACCACTTATCTAATTAAAAATCCTTTTGCAGCAGCCCTGCTAGGTGGCTCAGTAAGGTGGAGTAATCTGAACGCCACAAAGGAGGGCTGAGTGGAGGGAGGTGTTTAACTCCAGGGTGCTGAGTCAGGACTCTCAAACTCAGCTCTTTCGTGGAGTGCGCTATGCATTGTACCTGCTACCTTCTTTCCTTTATGCACTGCCCCTCAAGGACTGTGTAGAAGCTCCATGAGAAACAGTCCAGATGACCTACACTTGTGTTCGACTGAGTTTTTCTTGTGCCCCTTCTCGTGAATCAACACCTTTACTCTGAGACTTATTGACAGGACTCCTCCCTTCTGGCAGAAATGGTCTCTCTAAATTTTGAGTCATGGAAAACTCTTGGGACCTGTGGGACAAGTCAGGGTATTCCTTTTTCTATTCCTTCTTCCAGAAAAATGGAGCTAAAGGTGACAGTAGTGGGTGATCTAAGCTCGAGATTTAGACTCTTAAAGCAAATAAGATGCAGATAACTTTTCATCTTGCCATCTTAGACTTGCTAATACTCCCTTCACATCTGCCTCAGAGAATGGCACCTGCTGTCACCTGTAGTGGAAGCACTCTGATGAGTGTTAGGCCCATGAAGGTGTCAGAAATCACTATCAAATAAAACAATACTGAACTATAAAGCAACCTACAAAAGAGATGCAAGCAGTGAGTGCGTGGTGGGCACAAAGCATTTGCAATAGTATTCTCTTTGCTGCTTGCATTTTGAGCTGCGGAAAAGCAAGGGGCTAGAAAGGAAAAGGCTGGCTGGAGGATCCAGGACTGTTTATTTCCAAAGCAGCCTTGCCATTTCACGTTGGCACTTAGTGAACATGCAGGGAGGCAGTTCTAGTCTGCGTTTTGCTCCATAGAGCAAGTGGTTCCTGGAGCCAGAGGTAGAGCAGCCTCTCTCGACAGAGCTGAACAACGATGTTGATAGATCTGCACACACCTCACTGAATTCCAGGGAACCTTGTCCTGCTCACGCTTAGGGAGCCTCCAACAATTCATTCCCCAGCTCCTGCCCTAACACCATCGTATGGGTATGCACAAATGATTCTGGGTGCTTCTATTCAAAACAAAACAAAACACAGTTGCTGCTCTCAGCATTTATGCAGAAAGACTGCTCCTTGTGTATTTGATGTGAAAGATTTTATTTTTATTAATCATTTGGCTTAGCATCTCAAAGAGGTTTAGGGAATGCTAGAAGTTGGTGGGTGGCCAGAATTCCCATTCTTACTCCATTCTTAATGAGCTCTTGGCTCTGGGGAAACTTGTCTCTGACTGCTGCTTTTCAAATCTGTATAAGGAGAGGCCCAAAGCAGCATTTTTCTAAGGCCTCTTTTAAGTGCCCAGACCCAGGAGGTTTTGCTGTCTTCTCTTTACATGGGCAGAGCACGAGGCAGAAAGACATAACATGAGCAAAGGTCAAGGCTAGGAGTCAACTGTAATGGCCTTGCTGTCACTAGACACTTGTACTGATGCTGGGCTCTAGGGGGCCTCACAATGAAATCCGTATGGTGGTGGGCAGCTAGTCTCCACGTCCTGCGAAAGAAAAAACGGTGACCTGCAAGGAAGCGGCTGTCCATGTTTCCCCCTTTCTGACCCTTCTCTGTCCCCTCTCTCTGCACTCCTTGAAGCTGTCTTGCCTGCACCTGGCCAGAAATGTCAAACAATGAGTAAATAGGCCCCTCTCCTACATCCTCTTGACAGAGAGCTGGTAAAACAGCACTTTAGATAATGACACACATCCCGTTCTGGAAGAGACCTGTGGCATTTGGTTTTAAAGGCAGGCACTAAGAGGAGCACCTCCTGCAATGAGAGGTAGCGCCAGGGTTGCTATAGAAACAGGAGATTATGCAACTGTCCTTGCTCATGGACTTTGAACTAGTAAAGAAAATTTATCTGGGTTTGCAGCCGACGTCCTCAAGCAGTGCCGGGCCGACATGTCAGAAGCAGCATGCACGTTAGGCTTGGGCTTGACCCAGTTACAGCTGTGTTACCAGCTGGTGAATCTTGCCTGATGTGATCAAGGCATCGGATCTCCAGTTCAGCTGGAACACTGGATCAGATTCAAGTTTTGTTGTTTTGCTTTCTTTTGTAAACAGGCCTGACCTGTGGGAGAGCGTGTCTAGATCACAACAAGCTTATGCGAGTTCACAACCATTGATTGCATTAAGAAGCATGTGCGCTGTAGTATAGCATTAAACCAGCAATGACTCAAGTGGACCCTTTGGCAGCCACTGGATGGGGCCTCCAGGAACCTCATGTTCTTGTTGGGAACAAGGTTCTGTTTCAGGTTTGCAGCGATTGTCCCAGTGCTTCAGATTCAAAAGCACTGAGGGCTAATGTCTGCTTCAGTTTCGCTTTGAAATAATTGGTATAATGACTATACTTTTAGAAAGGAATTTCAATTCAGTAAACAGAATTGAAGGGCTAGATGAAATAATTGAATATAGAAGAAATGTAGCATAGGAAAAAAAATCTTTCTACGCAGTGAGCTATTGTCCCTACTTCGTTGCCATTAATCCTTTAGAAGGGTTCACTTTGAAGCCACAAATGCAGATGCTGAATGACAGAAAGCTGTGGAAGCTGGCTTTCCAGGATTTGTCCTTTAGAAATTACTAGAATTGCTCAATTAGAAAGCTTAAAAATGTTGTTTATTTTTATTTACTTAAAAAAATCCCCAGGAGGAATTCTGAGCTCACAATGGAAAGGATCAATTACTTAACCTATACTTGTAAGAGCACAGATGTATCAGCAATAGTTTCTGATTAAATCAGAAGAGGATGAACAATAGAGAAACAAAGAAAATAATATGATCTGGGGGAAAAAACGTAAAATCACCACCAGCCCCATGAAATACTGCCGTCTCCCTCACTGCTGGATTTAGGTTTTAGAATACCATGGCAGGACATGAGCGACCCATCGTTTTCTATAATGTAGGCTACGTATGGAGTTGGTTCCTGTCTGTGCTATAGTCATCTGGAGCAGAATGAGTCATATCTGCTTAATATTCTATATTAATTGTTAAAATGTCAGCTCCTTGGTAATTTCATAAATAAAATCTCATCCTGCAATCTGTAAGCTAACCAGATAAATAAAAAACCAGAGCCATCCTTCCTCAAACAGTGATGTAAGATGCTGAGACACAGTAATGGGCGGGTAGATGCTTTTGAGCAGGTGCAATTCGTGGACTCCCATGAGTTAAAGACCACCCTTATCTCGCATGGTCCCCTGACCTTTTGCTGCTTGCTGTGATTTGAATACTGTTTGTGTATGGCCCCCTAGACTTCAGGAGCTGAAGTCTGATCCCCATTCTGAGTTATTCAAAAGAGTACAAAGTTAATCCGACAATGGTGTATAGAGATGGGGTCACTGGTAGGTGAATCAGACTAGCTGAGTCATCAGAGTGAACCCCTGTGGTCGAATCCTAGCTACTTAATAAGGAAGAGAGATGGGAGGAGATACATGCATGCTTCTCCTTGTCTCTTGTCACCTGACTTCTTGTGCTACTTTGCTACTCCACCAGCAAGAAGGTGATCATTAGATGTAGCTGCTTAATCTCGAACTTCTAGAACTGAGATCCCAAATAAACCTCGTTATAATGCATCCACATTGTTTTATGTTATTTGGCAACAGAGAACAAGCTAATAAGCCAACCACCCCTACCTTATGGACAGTAAGGCTTTTTCATCTCTATTATTGTCTTTGCTCTAGTCTCAGGACTAGAGATCTAGATCTCATCGGGATGTGACCTCACCAATTGTTATGGACTCAAAAACAGTTGCCACAGAAAGCAAACGAGTACAACCAAACTGGGAATTATTTTGTTCCTTCCCCTCTGCTCGTCCTCCCCAACCAACTGGCACTAGCCCCAGAATGTTCATTCCCCTTCCTACCTGTTGAGCAATCGGGCCCCTGGTAGCCCTCTTCACAGACGCAGAGTCCCTCCTGGCAGTGTCCTCGCCCACTGCAGGCATTCAGACACCGGCGCTGGCTGCAGTCTTCCCCAGCATAGCCCTCTTGGCACAGGCACGTACCGTTGGCACACTGCCCCTTCCCTGAACAGTCCTCGGGGCACCGCAGCTCCCTGCAGTCCTCGCCTGTGTAGGGCTCTTCACAGACACATTCTCCATCCACGCAGAGCCCCCGGGAGCTGCAGTCCGTTGGGCACCGCAGCTCAGAGCAGTCATCGCCACTGTATTCACTGTCGCAAATGCACTGGCCATCGACACACACCCCCCGACTGGAGCAGCCCAATGGGCAGTAGGGCTCTGAGCAGTTCTTGCCAAACCAGCCTTCATTGCAGATGCAGCCACAGGACTCAAAGCTAAAGTTGCCATGGCCGCTGCAGTGAGGGACATAGTCCAGTTGTCCTAGAATGGCCAAGGAGAAGGTCAAAGAGCAGCAGTGGCCTCTCATAAAAATCATACTGGGGAGGGTTGAGCAGAGACCTATCTTCATCCCTTGTTGACATTGGTGCTGCTGAGAGTAAACTACAACATAGTTTGGTACAAATTCAACGTAATAAATGTTTTCACGTAGTGCAATTGTCTATGCCTAACACCGCACTGAAGGTGAAGACGGGTAAGACCTGGGCTATTGTCCTCTTTCAGATCACCTGCAGAGCATCTTAGCTTAGGTTCCCTAGAAGCTGATAAGAACACTTGTTAAAAAGTGTTCCCACGCTGGGCAGTGGTGGCACACAACTTTAATCCCAGCACTCAGGAGTCAGAGACAGGTGGATTTTTGTGAGTTTGAAGTCAGCCTGATCTACAAGAGCTAGTTCCAGGACAGGCTCCAAAGCTACAGAGAAACCCTGTCTTGAAAAACAAAAGCAACAACAGCAATAAAAAAAAGGGTCCCCAGAAGAAGCCTGCCATAGTGGGTTGGATGAGGGGATCAGGAAAGAGTGTGGCTGAACCAGAATACGACTATGCAAAGACCCAGGAAGAGTGACTCAGATTCCTGCAGTATTCTAGAACCAATGTGAGCCATACTTGCTCATGAGCTGAGATCTTTCTCTGAGCACATGCAAGTTCTAGGGCCTTCTATGTCTTTGAGCATGTTGAGTGTTTTGATAGGCTAAGATCATCCCTCTGACAAAGATGTCCAGGTGCCGGGTACAGGTATGAGAGGGTTTGGGGGGATGTAGGCCAAGCACTGGACCAACTGTGCAGATGGAAGTTACAGGTGTTACAGACCTGTCCCATCTTCTCCCTTCCTCCACTGGCTACTGCACACTTATCAACTCTACGGCTTCTTCAGAGATTTCCTGAAGCATGCTTTCAGTTACTGTCTGCTAGGATACCTTCAGGATTTCCTGCACAGATCTTGCCCCAGCCTTTTTGTATAAAGTTTTATGGCTAAATAATAAAGTCTAAGTTCAATCTAGTAAGTTCTGTGTCATGTGGTCCACATTGCCTGAAAAATATACTACACGGACATTGCTTAACATAGCTTACCCTAATAGATTTTCCTAATCAGCCAATGATCTGAGTGGCAAGCTGGTGGATTCTGCAAGCAGGAGAGACTCACCCATGAAAACCTATGGCCTTTTCTTGTTTTTAAACTCCACCAAAAAGACAAACCATACTATCAGGACTCACTAAAGTACAGGAACATGGACATCTTGATTTCCTTGTCCAGTCATCACACTGCTTGTCTATAAGTTGAGGAAATTCTACAAAATGCTTCATTGGTCAGATTGGCCCCTATCTTACTATGACTCTGGGAGAATGGGTCTCATCTCTGAAGCTATGGGCTCAGGGTTTGATAAAAATTCCCTCCACTTTCATCTTGAACTATCAGATCGTATGAGGTAAACACTTGCACCCAAGATAATATGATGGTTGTTCCGTGTCATCCAGGGCCACAGCTACATGAGTCTGAGGGATCCCTTGGGTGGAGAAAGCTGGCCACAAGACTGACTGGGGGCGGCTAGCGGTCACCCTTACTCATGAGATGCTTACTGGGAGTCAGACTCTCCTCCGACTAGGTGAGTTAATAGTTGATACCTCCTTATTGCTCTAGTCTGTCACAGTTTGTAGATGAGGAAGGAAAGGCATGAGCTATGTGACTTGCTTAGATCACAAGCCAGGGGTGGCCGAGCAGATCTGAAGTCAAAGTCTGACTCTGAAGTCTTGATCACATCTTACAGTAAGGAGGCAGATGAACAAAGACAGAAGCAAATCTACTGAATGTTCAGCCTTTTGGAGAACAGGGAAAGGTGGTGTGTGTGTGTGTGTGTGTGTGCGTGCGTGTATGCACATGTCTATATTTATGGAGTAGGTCAGGATAAAATTCCCATCTTGATGGAGGAGAGGGGAACAGGTCACCTGAGACCTTAATGACTTCCATTTGCTCAGAGGGGAGCAAGGCTGCGAGTGAATGGGCAGAGCACCGCATGCCCTAGTCAGTCAGGTTAACTTGAACGGATATCAACTCAACAGCCTGTGAAAAGCAGAGATGAATGAAGGCAGACATCAAATTCCCTGCCTGCTATCAAAGTTGCTGTGCCGAGCCGATGTACCATTACCTGACTCATCCCTCCAAAATCAGGTTAATATATTTCAAACTAGGTAAGCGGTGTTGAGAATCTGTGAACCGAATCCCCAGGGAATGGCTGCATTTAGATCTTACAGATGACACATTAACCGAGAGCTATATACCAGACACTTTTTTCTCTTTGACCCTGTGAAGAGACGCTGGGTTTGCTTCCTCTCATCCCACCTCCCTCTCTGCTCAGCTCTCTCCTTCCCCACCAGGGACCAGGCTGCAAGTGCTTCAAACTCTACCTGTGGCCGCACTTTCCTGACAGCAGTTGGTGCTGCACTGGTCTCGCAGCAACGACACCTCCCTCTCCAGCATCTCGATCCGGCTTAGGAGCTCCTGCAGCACCTGGGTAGAACTGGCACAGGGGCAGGCTTTTTTGGGGAGGTTGATCTTGTGGGTAAAGGTGACCTGGCTTTCGTGATCTGAGGTTTGGCCTATGTATTCCGCCAGAGTATCATCTTCAGCGCTCACTTCCTGTTCAGCTGAGGCCTCCAGCCCCGAGGAGCAGAGGGTCTCCAGCGGGACATTGATGTTATACACATGGTTGAAGACCATAGGCTGTTCTTTGCTGGATGTGTTGTAGCTGGAAGCCCCTCCTTCCTCCTCCACAGTTTGTCTCTGGCCCCTTTCTGTGGTCACCTCCAGCCGACACTCAGAAGGTTTGAGCATGGATCCCAGGAGAATCAGGTTTACACCAATGAGCATGTTCTTCAAGACCACCGTTTCCCCGTCGATCCCCATCCTCTCAGCCAGGGCTTGGTTCAAGAGCTCCCCGTAGTAGCCGGCATGGAGTAATAGGAATCTGCAAGAGGAAGCAAGGGGCAAAGGCTCAGCTGGCCTCTGAAACCTGTACCTGGGCACCATGGCTCTCACTCTGTAAAGCCAGAACATATGTAGATAGAAGTTCTCTGGGGCTGTGGAGGAAACTGGAAGAATAGCTCTAAGTCAGAAGGCTGCACCTTTGGTCTCTCAAAGACTGGATTCTTGATAATGGTTAGGACCTCTACATAAGGGTATTGTTATGGCTTTATTACCATATGGCCCCCCTCTCAAAGCTTGTTGACAGATGAAGGGTATGTCAGAAGTGTTTGGATCATAAGGGTTTTGATTTCATCAATAGATGAATCCATTGGTGGATTTGTATGTTCACAGCATTGTGTGTTAGAAGGAGCAGGCTGCTAGAGGCATACCTTTGAAGGGTTGTAGTGATTTAAATAACAACAGTCTCCAAAGGCTCACTATTTGAATGACTAGTCACCAGGGAGTGGGGCTATTTGAAAGGATTAGAAGGATTAGGAGGTATGGCCTTGTTGGAGGTGTTTGGAACCCTGCCCTCAGGGTGCCAAGCAACAGCCCCTCCCCTGGAGTTGCCTCATTTCAGACACCACCCCCGAAAAAGCCCACCATTAGTGGCCCTTCCTCTCCTGGAGATGCCCAGGACCACGCTTACCAGCTATTTAAGACCCGGCCCATAGGTTGGCCACATGTGCTCTCGTGTTTTATCTCCTGCCTTCCTGAGGGCCACCTGGGAGTGTTCTGCTTTGCTCGCCTTGTTTATTAAATCTGGATTTATTAATTCTATTTGATTTGCTTACTGCATCAGCAGCAGAGGAATCCAGCAACCAGGGATCTAATACTTAAGAGGAGGAAGTATGGGGTTGGGCTTTGAGATTTTAAAAGCCTACTCCAAGCCCAGAGTCTTTCTCTGTCTCTGCCTGTGGATCAGGATGTAGCTCTCAGCTACTGCTCCAGCACCTGCCTGCATGGAGGGCACCATGTTCCTCACCATGATGATAATAAACTAAACCTCTGGAACTGTGAGCAAGCCCCCAACTAAATGCTTTCTTGTGTAAGAGTTTCCTTAGCCATTGTGTCTCTTCACAGAAATAGAACAGCGACTAACACAGGGGTATATCTTATCACGAGTCATTTCTGTCTTCTCTCTGCTCTACAGCCACCATGAGGTGAGCAACTTTGCCCTGTCATTTCTGCCACAATGGACTGAACCTTTGAAATCACAAGACAAAATGTCCTTCTTCCCTGAAGGTTTTTTTTTTTTTTTTGTCTTTTGTTAAGCACTGAAATGTCAGCCTCATGTCGCCATTTAGGCACAGGATCCAATGGTTCTCTCCACAGTGCACAAGGAGCTTCTAGAACACATGGCAGGAGTGGCGGCTCTGTGAACAGCCTCTTCCAGTGAGGCGAGCTCCAAGTTGCTCTTCACTTCTAAAGGAAAATTAGGATGAAGCAGACCACAGAAACTTGGGGGCGCTCCAATGTCTCCTCAGATATTTATTATGAAGGGGCCTCACTGGGCATGTCAAATAACTATTCATCAGCTCCTTTAAGCTCACCTATTCAATAAAGGGTTGACTTTACAATAACCAACCAGCCAAATAATGTAGTTCCAGGCAGTTTGTGATTGTTAATTATCCTTGGGTACATTTGTGATT